TCTCTGGTCTCAGAGCTAAACAACAACAACAACCCCACAGAGAAGAGCTGATTGGCTTCATTTGGGTCACATGCCAACACTTGGACCAATCACCATGACCAGAGTCATGTGCCCAGAGGCATGGAGTTCTGTAACTGTCTATAGGCATCCAATATACAGTCCTTGACCAAGCCTCTAACGTAATATTTGACATGAGTAGCAGCTATCAGAGAAAGCTGAGGTGGAGTGAGACTGCTTTTGTCATTAAAAATGTGCAAAGGGGGCTGGGAAGTTGGCTCAGTAATAGAGTGCTTGCCTCACGTGCACAAGGCCCTGGGTTTGATTCCTCACCACCACATAAGCAGAAAAAGCTGGAGGTGGCGCTGTGGCTCAAGTGGCAGAGCGCTAGCTTTGAGCGGATGAGCTGAGGGACAGCGCCCAGGCCCAGAGTTCAGGCCACATGACTGACCAAAAAAAAAAAAAAAAAATGTGCAAAGGATTCCAAAAGTAAAGCAAAGGGATTACAAAACTAAAGATGGTCCAAACATTGGACTTTCTCAGCAAAGCTAAATAACAAGTGTTTATCATCATTTTATGTCAGTTTGCAATATAGTGCTTGGAGAATATCTACTAACTTCACATTTGCATGTAGGCTAAATACCTGGCTAATTTCCTTCTTAGTTTTAATTATAGTAATTACTGTTATTTTTGTTTTTAGCAGTATTAGGGATGAACTCAGAGGCTGGAACTTGCCAAGCAAGCAGCAAGTGCTCTAATTTGAACAACACTTTTAGACTCTTGGTTTATATTTTGTTTTTGAGATACTCATCGAATTTCTTGTCATCTGTGTACTTCCACATTCTGTCTTCCTGCATAGCTTAAATTATAGGCACTTACCACCATGCTTGGCATTCCTGATTCATTTTGAATATGGTTTTATCAACAAACCAGGTAGTGGTGGCTCACACCTGAATCCTATCTAATCAAAAGGATGAGATCTGAGGATCATGGCTCAAAGCCAGCCCAGGCAGAAAAATCCATGAGATTCTTATCTCTAATTAATCACCAAAAACTAGAAGTGGTACTGTGGATCAAAGTGGTAGAGCACTAGCCTTGAGCACAAAAACTCAAGCCCCAGAACCAGCATACACACACACACACACACACACACACACACACACACACACACACACACACATGATAGACAAAAAATAAAATGATCACTTTCTACCAATTTACATTTCCTCTAAAATTCCTTATACACACATCTTCAAATAAAACTGAAAGGCATGCTATTTGTTTCCTTTTGAGGTTGAATGATGGTCATTCAAATGTAATTCACTAAGTGTGTAGTTGTGGATTACATGTCCCCTCCCATTATTTATTTATATTTTTTCTTTAACGAGTCAGCTCTTACTGCCTAGAATTGAGATCCACCCGCAGAATGGATCTTATCTCTTAAGGCTGTGGTCATTGGGGATAACACTGCCAGGCTCTTTCTTTGATTCTGAGCCTCTGGTTCTTTCATTGTCATGGTTATTTAAATGCATCTGTCTTGGGGGAAAAAATGTCTTTTTTTCCTTCTCATTTACACAGATTCATTTTGACAGCCATTTTTCTGTCCTAATTGTCTCTGAACTGCAGCAAGTTTTCCAATTTCAGCAATTTCTGTAGGATTTTCAAACATCTGCACAGGCTTTTCTATCCACTCCCTAGATTCCACATTTTAAAACAAGCACAATTCTTGGATGTAGCAGGGTCTCAGTAAATATCTACTTTTTTTTTTCTTTTTTTTCTTTTAACTTTGGCTGTCTTGTTTTTTTAGGGAATAATTAAATCTCGCCATTTTCTTCATTTATAAAACATGAAGCGAGGAAAAAATAGAATGCAGAAATAGAAACCATTACCAATACAGCACATGCATAATTTGGAGGAAAATGGTTTTGTAGAACACTGCAAGTGAGGGCGCTGTGCAGAGTTTTGTAGGAGAGGGCTGCACAGAGGAACAGACATCCTGGAGAACGGTAACAAGTCCTCTGGATGTTAATGGTCTTCCCTTTCACTTGCCTCTTCCAATTTAATGTTCACAGTTCAACCATGAAACTTTCCCTCAGTCTTTATCTTCGCAGTTGAAATGACTTTTCTAACAACTATCCTGAAGATTCTAAGATTATTTTTTTAAAAGCCTTGTGGGTTTTTTTTTCAGCATGTTTAGTGAATAAAAGAAACAATTATAGGAGAATGTGGCCAAAATATCAAGCAAAGAAAAATGTACTAAAAAGAGCAACTGATCTTTGATCGTATATTCATTGACAAACCTGTGCTGGAAGCTAGGCACCATCAAAATGGGACCCAAATCATATGAGAAGGGCTGTAGTGAATAAATAGCCTTGGATCAGTGACATTTCCAGCAGGTTTTGCAATGGCCTGCTTCACAACCTTCATTTTAGAGATAATCACAATGAAGTTCAAAGGCATGAAAGGTCTTGTTTAAGACCTAGAACTATTCATTTCTCTTAACGGCCTACACTGTCCTGAACTCACTGTATAGTCCAGACTGATGTGAAAATTGCAATTCTCCTGTTTCAGGTCCCAAAGAACTGGGTTTACAAACACACAGAACATACTCAACCAGAGCCTGCTTACCCACATCTGGAGATGCATCAAGGAGATGGGCTTGTCTCCCTGATTTGGGCTGCTTTTATCCTAGGCTCCCTCTAATTCCTGCAGAATACATCAAAATGTGATATATCAAATGATGTTCATGTTCATGTTGAATGATCAAGTTGAAGCCCTATTGCAATCTAAGCCTCTTACCCCTTTGGCCTTCTGTCTTCCGGTATGCTCACCCCTACAGGTGTCTTTAACATGTGTCTCCATCCAAACACTGCACCAGTTCTTCCACAGCCCTATCTTAACCCCAAAGATGACTTCATCTTTAATGTTTTTATAACTGTTGATTTCCTTGTTAGCTTCTTTTAAAGAACTCTGTCTTCCTAAACACATAATTGTCATTTTTTTAATCTCCTGTGCCTTCAATCAACCAACAAAGATTTCTCCCTCATAGTCTAGGACGGGAGCCGAGTTAAGCTCTGAGTCTCTTTTCTATGAGTGGTCAAAGTCAAAATGAAGGCAATTGGGAAATAGGGTGGGAATAGGCTAGGAAAAGAGAATCCCAGAGGGATTTTGTAAATTAAAATTCTCATTACTGAACGTACAAGAGACAGCAGTGTTCCCGTTCTATGAGACTAGTGATCTACCACTTGAGCCACACCTCCATTGCCAGCTTTTTATTGCTTGACTGGAGATAAGTCTCTCTGGTTTGTCTTCCTGGGTTGGTTTCAAACCTCAATCCTCAGAGTTCAGTCTTCCAATTTGCTAGGATTACAGGTATAAGCCACCACTGCTGGATTTACGGCTTTAGCATTAAGTGCACCAATCCTGATCAACGGCTTTCAAACATGCTAGGTAGTAAACAGATCTGCTTTTTTTTACATTTGAGAGGTGATTGGTATCTGGAAGGCAAACAGATTAAAAGGGCAAGATCATTTAGAATCCAGAAGAAAGATCTTAAAGTGATTCTTGCTTAGGGGGAATTACATGATTGATAGACTTGATGGTTCATACTGTCTTTCATTCCCAAAACCATTATTATTGTTTGGCCCTTACCATTTCCTTTCTAACCCATTTCTGATTCATCTAGCCACTTGCATTCTTCCCAAATCCATCCTTCACACCACACTGGAAGAGAGCTGACCATACCTCCACACTACACCCCTACTTAAGCTCTTCAATGACCCTTCATTGCCCCGTGACTCAGACTTCCCACTAGCTTTAGTTCTTCTCTTTTAAAAAAACATTTATTTTATTTGTGTGTTTTGTTGTTTAGTTATTTGGACCCTCCTTTGTGGGGGCTTAACTTCCCAAACATCCCACACAGATTCCTGCCTTTGTTTCCTCTACATTCTCTCCCCAGAAGGGCTAATACTTTATATTGCACTCGTGGTGCTAAGTTCTAATGAAATAATGGATTTTTGACACTGTATTTGCAAGTGATGGACTTCTAGTACTTAACCCATCATCAGCTAAGGTGTATCTGTATGGGCAAATGAGGTAAGCAAGAGAAAGGCCCATTCGATTTGGCAATGAGGCTTACAGACACCTTCATGGAAACTTGTTGCAATGGTGTAGGGCTCTTTGTGTATTATTTTTTCACTTTAGTCCTAGCAAATATTAAATATCCCATCCATCAATATATAATGAAGAAATTGCAATGGATTGAGGAGAGAATATGAGGTGAGGAAATGGAATTATATTTTCATGAAGTTTGGCTAACAGAAGGAAAAGTTGAGGTTGTAGGGAAAAGGGAGCTGGAACAAGGCAGAGTTTGTGGGTGTAAAAAAGCTGTTTTTAGTTAGTTTGCGAGCTTTTAAAATATTGCAAGAACATTTTTAATATGCAAAGACACTAACCTAGAGAAAGAAGTGAAAACAGTGGAAAATGATTTCTTGGAAGTGACAAGAAAGAAAGTTTCCAAAACCGGCGGACTGCTTGCAGACAAGATGGCCAATTGGCCCAGCATCTTTATTTTCCTTGAGTTTTACTTTCAATCCCCAAAGCAAATAACACACATTGTCCCTTAGAGGTAATACCTGAAATCTCTCTATCTACTTCTTCCTTTAAAATATATGTATATATATATATATATAGTTTTTTTTTTTTTCTAGCTGGATACTGGTGGCTTTCATGTATAACTCTAGCTACTCAGGAAGCTGAAAGTTGAGAATCAAGGTTCAAGACTAGCCAGGGCAAAAAAGTTTTGAGACTCTTACCTCCAATTAAGCAGCAAAAGTCTGGAAGTGGAAGTATGACTCAAATGAGAGAAAAAGCCAAGTGAGAACATGAGGTTCTGAGTTCAAGCTCTAGTACTAGGACACGCATACACACACACACACACACACACACACACACACACACACACACACTTCTAAGTTCAGTTAAGACCAATTCAAACAAAATGATTAGTCTTATTTAAGGAAATGAGAAAAATTTTAATTCCATTTCAAAAGTCTCAGGTTAGTGAATCTCTGAGCTCTATTTACATTTAATACATGGTAGGGAGGGGTGAGGTGGTATTTTCCTGCGTAGTTGAGGAGGGGGATTTGCGGTTACAGAGCTGGTCACAGGATTGTGTTGGCGATGAATCCTCCATTCCACTTGGGGAGGAGACTGGAGGCTGTGACGGATGGAGACAGGATGCTGACTGCTCTGAACTGCAGTGTAGAAAGGGCTGAGGACTGTGTCCCCTTCTCCTTCCCCCTCCCATCCTCCAGAGCAGGCCTAGAGCAACATAGGGCTAAACTTGAGAATCTAGGTCAGGATTGGGACTGGAGGACTGGAAAATCTTGAGGGCATAGGAAGATGGGGAAATCCAGAAGTCACCATTCTGTCTTCTCCGGGTGTCCCTTCAGCCAAGTGGTGGTGGATAAGGGAAGTAGTTAGACAGTGTACATTCTTTGCCTTGTTAGACAGCCTAGCAAATCATACTGACAGCCATAAATAAGTGATATTGTTATTTAAAATAATCAAGCAATGACTATTTCAACTGACTTTTCTTAAATTTGTTGGGTAGAGGATACTGGGGTTTGAACTTGAGGTCTTATAGCTGCTAGGCAAGCAAATGCTTGAGGTATACCCTTAACTTCTCCTCTTTCCCTCCTTTTTTCTTTTTTCATTTGCTTTAGTTATTTTGAGTAGATCCCAAATTTTTGTTCAGGGTTGGCCTTGGGCCACAATCCTTTAGTCCATACCTCCTGAGGGCTGGGGACCTAGGCTGTGTACCACCTCATCCTGCCGACTTCCGTGTGACATGAAGTTTTGATCACTTTTTGCCTGGGCTGGCCTGGAGCCTTGATCTTTCCTCCTCCTGAGTAACTGGAATGACAGGGGTAAGATATCTTGCCTGGCCTACCTATCTTTTTTTATAAAGTAAAATTCTAGCCTCTGGAAGATGTATTTTTTTTAAAAATATTTTTAAAACCTAAAAAGCCAACCTTACCCAGATTCAGGATGAAAACTCCTATGGTTTTACATAAGCAATAAAGGCTGCAGCTGAGGCAAAGAAATCAGGTTACTATTACTATTACTTTAGGAGGCATGGCTTTTCAACTGCTCCAGATACCCTTGTGAGAGGAATTACATGCATCATAAGTAGCCTGCTAACAGGCTACTTTTGGACAAACCTACGTTGGGTATGGGAGGGGAAGGTTCTTTTCTATTGTCCCTTTTATTGCCCGAGTAATCTCACAAGAAAATGGAGTCAATTATACTCAAATTGAATCATTGAGGCAGCATAAAAAGTCAGTTTCCTCTGATAAAAAAGATGTCTCTTGGGAAATGGCAGAAGTTGTCTCCAACTTCAAGTTCCCTCCACTTTATAAGCACCAGTTTGTTCCCACCAGGAAAAAAAAGAAAGAAAAGGAAAAAGAAAAGCCCCAAGATATCCACATTGCAGTTTGTTCATGCATTAGTACCTGAGGCCCTATCACTTCTCAGCTTTGGTTATCCTGATCAGCTAAACCACTTTAAATTAAGAATACTATCTGCTTACTATTACATAAGTGGGGGGGGAGGGGACCACAAATGGAAAATCCCCAGAAGTTGGCCAATCTCCTTAATCATGCCTGGCAATCTTTAAGTCTGAGTCTGAGGGATTTTTGCTTCTGGATCTCATTTTTTTTTCTTTTCCAACTAAAAAAAGGCAAAAGCAGACTGGATTTAACAACAAAAAATTGCTTTTGCATTTTATGGGCACAGTGTTCAGACTTCCTGTGTGGTTAGAAGGTCTTATTCTCTGACTCCAAATGCTAGAGAGGTAATTGCATCTGCAGATCTCAGTCTATTTGTAAGTAAGCTCCTCTCAGCCTCAAGTGAGGGGAATTCTTGATTTGTTTTGGGGTCTGTGCTTGTTTACATATGGAGCCCTGAATAAAACAAGGGTCCAGGTGGCTGCACAGCCTGTACAGCAGCAAGTTTGTATCCGGGCATTCACGGTTCTCTCACACACAGCTGCTGCCTTTCCCAAAGCCATTGTGGCTGGTCTCTGAGGGACTCCAAAGCCATTCACTGTCACTGCCTCTGGCCAAGCCATTCATTCACTCACGTGGGTGCTTTGTTGCTTGAATTCTACTTTCCTGCTCTGCAGTTTTGGAGGACACTTTGTCTGGATCCAAGGCCCTGTGTCCACTCACAACCTAGCCACTCCCTCAGGGATCTCTGGGGACCAGGTAAACAACATAAAGCCTGTTCTTTATTGGGTCTATGAAATCCACTTGTTAGGCTACAATGCTAGTGTGCCGCCACTTAGCCAAAGGATATAAAGTATTTCAAGGCAAAGCGTGCCATAAGCCCCAGATACAGTTCTGTTAGGAATGTTTTTATAACATCTTACTCCTGGGCCTCTGGAGAATGGGAGTCTTGCTCCATTTCCCTTTCTGTGTTCTATGGACAGAGAGATGATTATGTCCCCACACATATGCTGCTCTACACAGGTTCATTTGCCAGAGGTTTGGGGAATCATCTGCCTTTTCCAAAAGTAATAACGCCTCATGTCAACCTTGACTTTAGAGCCTTAAAGCACAAAATATACACCCTCTTGGAGAATACCAGCCAGTCTATGTCTCTAAGCTTCAATGACATGTGTGTAATAGATTCGAAGAATCAGTCCCCACCCCCATCCCCTGGAATTTGGCGTTGACATCTGGATTCATGCTTCTCAAATAGATCTATGAAAGTCATGGTTTCCTTTTCTTGGAAGACTTTCGTAAAATACAGTCTCAATTTTATATCTGTTGCCTGAATCTTGCCCTTGAAATCCAGACTTAGCAATGAGCCTAGAGCCCTTCTTAATCAGGGCTTCGTCCCTACTGTAGGCTTTCACTGAAAAGATGGCTTTTCCGTGAGCTCTGCCTTCTTCAGACTGCTCAAAACCGTGCTTTCTATCCATAATAGTCCTGATCCTTCTCCTCCACTTTTTATTTATTTTTATAACCAAGTATTTTGCATAGGGAAATACATATTTACTGGCTTAAAAACAACTAAGCCTTAAAGTATGAGATGAGAATTTCCCCAAGAAAGTATGACTAGCTACTCACCTTAGAAATCCATGAGCTACTATTCTGTCTGCATAATTGTAATAGGAGTTGAAATACAATAATCACTATTGAACATCAACCATGTGCAAAAATAAAATAAAAATCGACATTTACAAACCAGGCTTGGTAGTGCATACTTGTAATCTAAGCACTCACGGGGCCAAGGCTGGGGGATGTAATGTATAGTGTTTGAGGTTAGTCTCATCTACATAACAAGACCCTGACTCAGTGGTAAAGCACTGCCCAACATAGAAGAAGCCTTGGGTTCAATCACTACCTATGAAACACAACAATAATAAAAATAAAACAATAAAAATATTGTTACATTTTTGTAACCTCCTGGAAGAAAACATCATTCCCTCAATCTTATCAAATGTGGAGGCATACTTGATGACATGTAAGTGACAGATGAGCATGGACCAGCTTGAGTCCTTCAGGCTGGAAAGACACAGAGGTTGTAAGACTGAATTGTCTTCTAAGTCTCTGCCACACAGAATTTCCCACCAGAGCTGCATTTAAGAGCAAAGGTAGCTAATGCATTTCTTTTCTCTTCACCTCTGCACTTTGTAGGTGCGAAGATGGATCAAGAGCCCGATGGTCAGTGTGGACAAGCATCCGAGTCCCAGTCTGAAGTACACGGCTCCCTCTGGGGTGCACCTCCCTCCAGGAGAGACAGACTTTGAGCCGGCCTTGTGTCAACCATGCCTGGGGGACCATACTTTCCCAAGAGGGATGCCCCCTCTGGAGAAGGAGGCCTGTTCATGGGAAATCCAGTCTGGGTGTGAAGTAAGTTCTTTGTTGCTATGTGTCCATCTTGAAAGGATTGTTTTTCTTATATTCATACCATAGAATGTCGAAAATATTAATATTTCCTAGGCTGGCCTCAAACTCTGGATTCTCCTGAGTGGCTAGGGTGACAGGGACATGTCACTACACCTAGCTCCTAGGGCTTACTCTTGATGGGTTTTACAAAGGCAGAGTGACATGCATCTACTAGTACAGTATCAAGCAGAGCATTTTCACTGTTCTAAAAATCTTCTATCCACTACTTACTCAGGTCCCCAGATCTCAGCCCTAACAATCACTTTCCTTTCTGCTGTCATAGATTTGCTTGTGTGTGTGTGTGTTGTGTATATGTGTGTGTTGTATAAATGTGTGTGTGTTGTGTGTGTTGTATATATGTATGTTGTGTATATGTGTGTGTGTTGTGTATATGTGTGTGTGTGTTGTGTGTGTGTACAAGGCTTAAATTCAGGAACTCGGTGCTGTCCCTTAGCTTTATTTTTGCTAAGACTGTTTCTCTGCCACAGCTTTACTTCCAGCTTTGGGGTGGATAATTGGAGAAGAGAATGTCCTAGACTTCCCTGCCCAGACTGGCGTTGAACTTCAGTCCCCAGATCACAGTCTCCTGAGTAGCTAGGATTTCAGGTGCAAATTACAGGTGCTGGCGTAAATTTGCTTTCTTACCTAATATTACAGAAGTGAAATCAGACAGTACACTATAATAATTTGTATCCTGTTCTGAAGCTGATGCAACACTGGGTTTGTCAGTTAGAAATCCCTTATAAAGTGTTTAATCTTACCAAAGATGGATTTGGAGATGATTGCTAACCCAGACCCTAAATCTTAAGAGCCATCTATAGGTTTGAGCCTCCTCGGAAACATTTGGCTCAACATGATTTGATGCACTTAAAGAGTACTTTATCAGGGGTGGGAAGGTGGCTCAGTGGTACAGCGCTTGCCTTGCATGCCTGAGGCCCTGGGTTCGATTCCTCAGCACCACATAAGCAGGAAAAAAAAAAGCTGGAAGTGGCGCTGTGGCTCAAGTGGTGGAGCACTTGCGGTGAAGAGCTGAGGGACAGCGCCCAGGCCCAGAGTTCAGGCACATGACTGGACCCAAAAGAAATCAAAAAAAGAGCACTTTATCAGCTTTCCACTGTTTTTCCCATGATTCTTATTTTTCTCTGCTATTCCAGGAGAGTTTTATTGTTGGCTTTATCTTACTTCTTTTAGTATATGAACAAAACAATATTTTTCACATGCATGTTCTCAAGTTTCAGAACTTAAGGTTATATCTTCTAAGCGGTTTATTGATATTGTAAAGGAGATGCTCAGAGGGATTACAGTTACATAAGTCAGGTAATGAATCCATTTCTTTTGGGACAATGTCACCCCTTCTCTCACTCTCTCCCAGTTCTTCCTTCTGTCTTCACCTAAGAGTTACATAGTTTATTTTTGACAGTGTCTAGTGAGTACCACTGCTACATTTGTTCACCCTTTTGAGTTTATATTTTAAGATTATATCTTACTTAGGCCCAAATTGATTTTGATTTTTAAACTATTAGAAAATATATTGACCTCGGGGCTAGGAAGGTAGCTCAGTGGTAGAGCGCTTGCCTTGCATGCATGAGGCCCTGGGATTGATTCCTCAGCACCACATAAACAGAAAACGCTGGAAGTAGCTGAAATGGCTGAGCACTAGCTTTGAGCTGAAGAGTTGAAGGACAGTGCCCAGGACCAGAGTTCAGGCCCCATAACTGAAAAAAAAAAAAAAAGATCCTTAAAATGCAGCATTTAGGAGATAAAACATATGAACAAAGTATAATTAATTGTAACTAACCTTAATTTTTTTTTACAAATGAGTACATCACAAAATGATTGATGTTAATGGCCACTAGCACCCTTTTTAAAAAAACAAAGTAAGTATTTTCCAGGGATAAAGGAACATGAGCTGTTAAAAGACTGAAAACACTGACTCTGAGTTTTCTTTTTAATCCTGGGATATTATGCAATATTTTCAACCTGTTTCCTCATGGAAGTAGTGGTGTATTTTATACCTCTATTGGAGAAATCAGAAGAGCTAGCACGTAAAAAAAAATTCACAATCCACAATGTCCCATGCTTATGTTTGCTGATTTACATTTTAGCTAAGCCTTTGAACCAGACTCTGACTCAACTCCGAGTTGGTCACAAAGGGCAATAAATAGATACTAAATACAAGATTAGCAAACTTTTTTTTCTGATAGTAAATGATTTAGGCTTTGCAGGTCGTGACAGCTCCTGTCATTCTTTTCCAGCTCTTCCTGTGTTGGGAAAAGAAACATAGAATGATAAGCAAATGAATAGGGGGTGTCCACATGAAATTTTATTTATTAAAACTTATAGTTTGCAGGGTGCCAGACACTCACACTTATAATCTTAGCTACTCAATTTGACTAAGATCTGAGGATCGCAATTTGAAGCCAAACTGAACAAAAAAATCATCCATGAGACTCATCTCCAATTAACCACCAAAAAGCCAGAAGTGGGTCTATGGCTCCAATGGTAGAGTTACAGCCTTGAGTGCATAAGCTAAGGGATGGCACCCAGACTTTGAGTTCA